CCCCCCCTTAGTTCAAGGTCTGGATCCGCCATTGTCATAATTAACCTGAGAAAAAATGTCGGTTTTGGTAAATCCTATAGCAGTACTGGAGACCATCAGTTCCGAGAACTGTGACGTCATGTTTACCTCACGATACTAAGTGACCTCTCATTTAAGAAAGTCTTCTGGCCAAATAATTGCACTGTTAGAAAGGGTCCATCAGTTCGTATTACAAGTGTGTGGTAAAATGTCTGCACCTAAGGTATATGATGCGCAAGTTTGTGAAGAAAGTAGTTATTTCATTATCTTTCACCAATTGCAAGTTAATTTTGAGGGTTACTCTGGAGGAGGCAAGTTGGTGTGATTCAACATCATTCCTGGTTCATATACCACCGCCACGTTGTTTGTCTGTGAAAATAAGGTGAAAATGTCTTTAGGTCTTAAGCAAGTAAGAGAGCAAGCTGCGGAGTAAGTTAATGAGCAACCAAGTTCCTTAATGCGTTTGTCACCTTCGCTGTCGGTACTTGGTTCGTCACACAACGTTTCTTGCCTTAACTGGAGAAAAGCGTTGCGTGACGAAACAAAACGCCTGCGACGGAGACTATTATTAAGTTAATCATGAAAATTTCAATTTCCTCGATTGTGATTGGTTTAAAAAGAAAACTGCTATTTTCCACTAATTCACCTGCCAAGTTGTTATCGGACAGTTTGTAATTGGACAGTGCTATCAGCCAATCATATTCAAAGTTGTAGTTTAAATCAACCAATTCGTTCAAAGTTGTACTTCAAATCAACCAATCAAAACCCTGAGCGGCATTAAGCAATTTACGACTTCTTTATCAGTCTTTCAATGAAAATTTCCCTTTCTTTCATAACTTGGCTATTCTTCTTTTCTTGAAAATTGTAATTTTTTATGATTAATTGGTAATTGGACTTCGTGTCATCCAATTCGGTCTGTAATCATACTCGTGATAAACATATCATACACTGTGTTGGGAATCTTATATCTTTGAATCTGATTGGCTAATCGTGTGTGCTCTAGTGGTCCAGATTTTGCCATCTAGAGCCTTGGTTGAATTAAGTAGCTATGTAATCACTAGATCAGAGTCATTGTAATTTTTGTAGAACTGCATATTAAATTCTGTATGTTCATCTTATTCCTTTAGGCACGTGGTGTCAAATTAGAACATGCGGATGACCTTGTGGGACCCATAACTGATGGTGGTCTGGATATCAAGGTTTTTATGGACGGTACTGGTGTTATCTACTGGCCAGTTGTGTTTGTTTACCCAGAGTTTGAAGAGACAGACTTGATATCTTCATTTAATGAGAATA